CTCGCTGCAGGCCCGGGCCAAGCGAGCCAAACTGCCCTTCAGTCGATTTATCCTCTTACTTCTATGTGGACAAAACAACGTCAACATCCACATATTGGGTCCATGGAAATAGATCAGATTTGATCAAAGCATGACATCAAGAAATTGATTGCTTATTCCACAATACGGGCAAATGCCACACCGATATCGACGGCCGGTTCGGCGGCCCGTCGATCATTATATACTATAGAGTGTAGGCGGGCTTGAACCGGTAGGCTCTAGAAATCACAATCTTTTAAGCATTCGGTAATAATATTAATACAGACTATAAAAGGCGTCTACCTGCCACTTCCGCTTGGACGGCACAGCCCTCCAGAGATCTCAAATATCTATATATATATACCTTTCGAATATAACCCCGCGAGAAACTCCTTTTCTCACCTCGACCCTACCCATCGCCGTCAAGATGCAGATCAAAAGCCTGATTGCCGTCGCCATCGTTGGCTTAAGCCCGGTTGTCAATGCTACCGCTTTTGTATGCCCGAGTGGCAAGACCTTCCACTGTTGCACCAGCTCTTCACCCTTGGGAGGAACTTGTAAGTTCAGTCGGGTTTATAACTTGATCCCGTTCCTCGCTTCTCTAACAGATTTATGTTTTTTATAGGTACTCCGTACAATCCAGATTTTGGTTGTCCCAACGGCGGGCCACAGTTCCATGCTTGCTGCTACCTCGGTGGTATAAGCTGCGCCTGGGCCCAGGTTAAAAACCCGCCAGTTTACACATGCCTTTGCCCATAGGTGAACTTGAACACAGACAGGCAAGGGGTTACATTGAGCTTAGCTCTTTTTATACCGACTTTAGAGGGACATACTAGCACAAGGGATTAGATGGAGCTGGCGAGGCGTAGCTGAGGCTTCGATTATGAAAACGGAACTACCATACGCTGAATAAATATCATAATAAATTTCAAAATGTTTGAGATCGTCAACCTTGCATAGGCGCCGCTGTATTCGCAATACTTTCATAATCCGTCTTGTGGGTTTAGGTATTTATAGGTTAGTACCGAGTCAACTATGTAGAGGGTGGGCACTTCTATAAACCCCACCATACTCATTCTAATTTCTGAGTTTGGATTGAGTGGGCATGCCAAAAATACGTCAACAGAGGCCTGACAATATAACCACACTCTCATATTTGTAGAATTGATTTTTTATATCTACGAATATTTCTTCAGTGCGCGTACCTGAATGTTAAAGATTCCGATGTAGCAGAACTTGCAACGTCGATATCATCTGCATTCGAAAGAATTAGATACCCAAGTATCATTCGCTACCTTTTGGAATCTAGATATAATTGTGGCTACAGAAAACATATAATACTCTTCCAGGGGGGTTGTGGTTGTAATAAGCGAAGTGCGCTTGCTAAAGTCCATTTTCTAAGGACACCAGACCAGGCTATTACTTTGGTGGCACGCGGAGCACCCTTGATAGTTTTTATGGAGTTGTAGAGAAAATATATTGTGTTGGAGGCTTGTCATGCGATAAACTAGATCTATATGAAGGGCCGAGTCTCAAAGATGGGGCGGCTTGTGGAAGTTCGCCCACAGAGCACGGACGTCGTAGGCGACATCCTTCTAATACATTTCCTAGGAGGGCAAACCATGGAGCCAGAAAGCGAATCTAGCGCTCCAGAACAATATCTAGCCATGAACGCTTAGGGACGTATCTACTTGTGCAATATAGGATATACCATCTACCGATTACAAGTCCATCCGATTTCTTAGGGTCAAGCAGCTGCCTATCACGGCCGTACAATATGGATTTTGGAGTTGCTACTGGATTCTGAAAGACTGCTAAATTCATAAGTAGATCAATGGTCTGAATCTGTCAATGCTACAATGCGAATCGAGATGTGCACACATAAACGGCTGTATTTGAAGCAGGAGACGACCAACAAGCAGCGGGGCACAAAACAAGAAACCTTCTCTAGACTTCGCTAATTTTGTATGCTGCCGTTACCGAGATAGGGGTCCTTAACGCTCATATTGCCCTCGCCCGTGCCCTGCAGACGACTTCCGTGGTAACTCCAACCCTCGAACTGAATTTGGTCACTCTCGGAAAGCCGATTGTCTCCTTCTATGACACTGTCTGCTGGTGCTTCACCGGTAAACTCCGGCGAAAAATTGGTCGTATCAAGTGCGTTTTCCTAAAAGCAAATCAGTAAATGCGGTAAAATAGGTATACCTAAGAGATACTCACAACAGCTGGTTTGAAGGTAGGTTGGATTTTCTTTTGAACGAGCCTCTTCCAGTCAATGCTATCAAAAAACTTGTGGTTTTTGATTTCCGCAGCTCCATTGGCACCTAACCTCTTGGTAGGGTCCCTGTTCAGAAGTTTCTCCAACAAGTCCCTCGCATCTTGAGGTACGATTTCCGGTCCGTGGAACAGCAATGGGTCCGTAAGGATTTTACGGTACATCTCATTGGTATTTTCGTCGTAGAAGGGTGGCAGGCCTGTCAACATCTCATAAAGCAAGACACCAAGTGTCCACCAATCCACAGTTTTCGTGTATCCTTGTGACAAAAGAAGCTCTGGGGCGATATATTCCGGGGTACCGCAGAACGCTGTTATTGAATATCTAGTCAGCCACAAGTGAGTACATTGTCAATGTTAACGGAAAGCTTACTGTTTGTCTTGTCATCCTCCTTCATGTTGAGTTTACACAATCCGAAATCACACAACGCAATATGGCCAGTATAGTCAAGCAGGATATTTTCCGGCTTGAGGTCTCTGTAGATGACATTAAAGCCGTGTAAACATTCCAACGCGCAGAGGAGCTCTGCGGTATAGAACCTTGAGCGATTGATGTCGAACCGCCCCTCCCTCTGAAGGTGATGGAACAACTCTCCGCCGTTTACGAATGCCAGCACCAAATAAAGCTTCTCTGGAGATTGGAATGAAAACTTTAAGGGGACAATGAAAGGATTGTCTATCTGTGCTAAGACAGTTCTCTCGGCGAGAGTGTGCGTAACTTCGGCCCTGCTTATTATATGGGCCTTTCTGATCGTTTTAAGGGCATATATACGCGAGGTATCCTTCTTTCTGTTTCCTAGGTTTAGAAATTGTCTCGAAGGTTCGTTTACCAGCAAGTGGGCGCCTACCTGACCTGCATGACCTTTCCAAAGCTCCCCTTTCCAACAACCTTGAGCAAGTCGAAATCTTCTATAGTGAGGGGTTTGCTCTAGTTATGATATTAGCTTTTGTTTTTGTTCAGGATTGAGAGATGTGGGTACACACCGGATTCGCAACATAATCCAGACCGATACGAACACTTCCGCTTCCAAAACTTAGATTTACCCAGTCAATGCCTGCATGGCCAGGCTGTGGAGTCGCTTGTGAGGAGGATTTGGTTTTGGGTGGGGTGGCTTGCTGGGCGGCCGCTTCCTCAAAGCGGGGTTGCACTTTACAGCTGCCCAAGAAGAAATCACTCTCTCGATTGTTGCCTGTGCTGGACGGATTCCGCAGGTAAAGCTGCACAGTGAGGTCGGTCTCTCTGGACACGTCGAATTTGTACTGGTTGGCGGGCGAGTCGTAAGTTGGGGCATTCGGGGCAGCCGATTTTGGAGAAGCCGTCAGGAAGACTTCGCACTTGTCGAATTCTACGACACAGTATGGTAGATATCGGGGATGGATTCCACCACCATGATTGTATCCCGTACCCGGTCGAGACGAAGAAGTACCCGGCCGGGAGCCAGGAGTTACATAGCTCGCCATCCGGGCTTGTGATGATGCGGGGCGCATTGAATTGAATGAGCCTACCGAGCCGGAGAGGAGCCCGGCTTGAGCGGTTGGGATGTTAGGCAACGTCAAGCCCTTCGCCTCGTAAAGTGTGAATACGAGCAACCCCGGCTTAACCGTTGAGGTAACATGAGCGTTTCCCGGCATTGCTGAATCGATAGAAGAAGGTGTTGGGGACGCCTTGAGCGATGCCGGAGTGATTGTAGAGGTTGACGAGGATCGCGAAGCAGTTGAGCTCGGAGACGGGGTGGAGAGATGTGTCTCCTTTAGTTCTGCGAGTTTGGGAGGGTATCGAAGTTAGTGGGTTCAATCGAACGGTAGAGACGAGAGTATTTTGAGTAAGAAAAGGGAGTGACAGTATATATATACAGCAGAATAGACAGAAGGGGCAGGGAGGAGAAAGGGGCAAGGGGTTCAGGAGAGAAGAAAGGGTAGGGAGGCGTGGTCGTCAAAAGAAGAGCATTGGCCCGGGGTATGGGACTTGCTTAACCCCCTGACTTGAAGTTCCAAACATGGTGGAGGTGCGAGTGAGCTTTTTCGACTTACTCTTGGTGAGCTTCCACGACATAGCTGATAGCGGAACAAGGTGGAGCCGATGATGTCTGGCAACGATGCCGGTGAGCCAAGGTACACACTAACAGGTGGAGATTCGAACGGACGCGGTTAGGTACCTGTTCTGGTATATAGGAAGACGTCTGTGACAGACCAGAGGTGCGTGTTACAGGTGTGAACAGGCGGATAGATGCCAGGAAAGGACGGGATGATTCTCGTGCCACGCCCGGCAGAGGTGAGGGTTTCAAGGGTCAGTGATATATAGAAACGAGGCCCGCGAGTGGTGGCGGCGATGTGACAGCTCAAGATTGTGGCCGGCGGGTGGTAAATAAAGGAGATGGGGATGGAAGTTTAGTTGATGATTGATGATTGGGGGGCTGCTGAAAGGTGGAGAGGAGGAAGCTCCCTCCCACCGCCGCCAACAAACAACACACGATTGTTGTCTTGTAATTTGTCAATAGACAATAATACTACGAGGAAATAACAGATGAAGAGATACATACAATCATCATAATAAGTATAAATATACTAGGTTGAATAAATATTCCTAGTCCAGCAACTATAAAAAAATATATAAAAAATATGACACCGGCTCACTGAAAAGTGCTTGCTTAATTTAATATAAGGACCACAGGGAACAAAAAAGAAAATCCACAAAAAAGGAAATGCAACGACCACAGCAGAACTCGAATCTGCAACCTCTGCTTCACTGGCTGAAATCAGGCAGTAGGAGAGCAACGCGCTACCATTGCGCCATGTGGCCTGTGATTGTTGACGTCCGTTCGTCGAAAGACAACTTGAGGCTTGGAGCATATGCCGAACATCGCCAAATGCCTCCCATTGGCTCCTCGTTATCTCTGCCTAAGTAAGTAATATATATATATATATATTACATTGCCATATCACAATTTCTGTAGCAAAAGGGCCTTAATCGAATAAATCGCACCGGTTCAACGCGCAAGAAGCCGTGCGACCATTAATTGATTGATTAATTAATTAATTAATTACAATCCATCTGCCCATAAGCATGTCCATGAAGTAATGTGTGTGAACATTGTACATTTTGAGAAACCCATAACGCCAGGCTAATGCTATCCCAATAACAATAACAAGGAGAAGAAGAAAATCGTCCTAAAAGCCCCCGAAATGCAACCGCAAAGCGCAAAATAAGATAGAAAATAAAATAAAAAAAAATAAAAAAAATAGAATATAGATAGAAGTAAGAAAGAAACTCCATGCTCCAAATAATGCATATATTACAGTCCAATTCCGTGACAAAGGAAAGTCGTGGGCGAAATAGTCATATAACCCCTTTGCCCTTTAAGCCTGAAGATCAGCGAAAGAAAAGAGGTTTCGCATTAATTGCGCGCTTTGAAGGTTATTCGTGAAACTTGTTTCCTCGTTTCTATCCTCTGCCAACGCCTTAATTGCCGCGAGAATATTCATCGAGGGCCGAAATTTGTCTTGATTATCGCTCGTTCCGGGTACCCACTCCAAGCGAACCGTTTCGTCGTTCCAAAGTTTTGATAAGAATGTCCGAAATGGGATTGGGTATAAAAATCTATGACTTCATGTTAGCAATATGCAATAAACCCCTCTCTACAGAATCCTGTTGGAGTCCGGAACATACCCTAGCTGCTCTATATCGTGAAATCGGGCGCGGAGAAACATTTTTAGACCCTCCACAGGATTGAACGCCGCTGCCATGCTAAGAGCAAGCTGGAAAGGCAATAGGGATGCTTGCGGGTTATCTGATTCGTAAGGAGCCACTGCCACCGCTACGAGATCACAGATTGCAGCGCATTGCCCGGCCATGTATTCTTCGTCAAAGCCGTATAGGACACTGCGCTGATGGTGTATGAGCATTCCCACCGCATGTATCTCCGCAAATATGTAGTTCATCTGAGCTTGAATTGCAGGTGTGATTGTTTGGGTGGTAGCTCTCAAGTCGGAGAACTGATCCCAAAAGGACTCGATGTCCTTCAATGCGAGAACCATGGTTTGTTCGTAAGACCCATAGTCGCATAGCCCATTGAATCGCGCATTTAAGACGTTTACCACCTGCATGGTGATCCGGCGACAGGATGATTCAGCACTCAACGCTAACCAGTATAGATTATCCGGGTGCTGAGCAAGCTGGGTCTGGCACGAATTGTAAGCTGCGTCGTACCACTCGGCATCGAGGATCGTAGGAAGCCCTGCAACCATCGACACACCGAGATCGATCCTGGTGAACCAGGAGAAAATCGGGTGCCCTTCTGACGTATCGAGGATCGACTGCGGCGAAAACAGAGATTCTAGAATCATATAGGCCCCTTTGCGATGTTCGATCAAGTTTGCCCAATCCCCGAGGTATTCCTCGAGAGTTGCTAACTGGAGGACAGTCAGGAGGGTGAATACATCTGGAGGTAGATTTTCTTGGAATGATTCTCGCAATGATACGATGGCTGTGTCGTGCAGTCCAAAGAAAATTTCTGCGGATGATGTTCGATCCGTTCCCGCCCTGTGCGCCTCGTTGATAAAATAATGGAGTGCGGAGAATGCGACAACCGAAAAAAGTAGAGCATCGTTCTGCAATGCATACGATAATAGGGCATCGCCAAAAAAGTTTGATGTGTCACTCTTTAAAAGGTAGTGGCGGAAATTGATATTTTGGCGGTGGTATTGAAGCCAAAAATTCACATCGAACTTATTGGGGGTGAGATCGGTTTGAGCCAGTTCTGGCAGGGCCCCGTCGATTGGCAGATTGGAAACCATAGAATCGGAACGAGAGTCATGACTATACAATGGGTAGCGGGGCTCCGAGTAACTCTCGCCGCTGTACGCCATACCGATGGGACTCAGACTTCTTTGTGATCGGGTTGAGCCTGGAGCTGACTGAGCGAGGCTTGGGGAATCCAGTGGGTATGCACTCAGGAACCGAAAGTCGACTGAGTGGATATCAGAAAAGTACGCATCCGATTCCGGATCTTCGGGAGACGGGCTCTTCTCTGGAACGTGAGCAGAGCTGGAAGTGCCTGACTGCTTTCGTTTCGTCCTTGTGCTCTTCGGTGTTGATGTGTCCGGGAAAGTACATTGTCGACCACCTTTTGCGCAACCTATTGGAATAATGTAAGCCTTTTATTTCCGGCAGTTATATTGTTCGGATGCAAGATAAAAATTATCTTGCTTTGAAGTCGGGTTTGGCTTACGTTCACAGATGGGCCGTGCTTCGTCACACTACAGGATTATTCCATCCAAAGTCAGTACAAAACATTAATACAACCTCGATGGAATTGCTCTAACCTTCACACGGCGGGCGCGGCAAGTAAAGCATCCTGATCTTGTCCGGCGATGTTTTATGTGTTCACTAGCTCCACCAAGGTCTAATCTCATCTCAGATTTTTGCCATCTCTGTCCGGAGCTTGAATTCATATGATCCATCGTAAATGATTCTTGGTCGTAAATGATTGTCGAATATTTCGGCACTGCCTGAAATCGGGAACCAGGTTGGGCTGGCTGTGTGAACAACGGGTAACAGGCAACGGTTTCCGGCATTCTCTGGTTATTTGGTATTACAAAGGAAATTTCGTGCAATTTTTTTTTTTTTTAAACTACTTTCCCCTTCAAAGATCTAGCGTAGATATCCTCATCTGCAGGATATAGTCGGATTGTTCAGGTTATAGGATGCCGGTCTGGTGGTGAGCGATTGTGTTTATTGCGTCGATATTGGTCAAAAACGAAAGAGAATATCTAAAAAGGAACAAACAAGGAGATAAAGAAAGAAAGATTAGTCGAGACAAAGTCCACAGTGTATAAACGAAGGTGAAACCAAGAGTTCGATGTTTTGCGTCAGCGAATGATGATGGTGATGGTGATGAGGCCTACCTAATTGTGAGGGGACCTCATGCTTATATATACTGATGGGTAGAAACAGGGCCGAGAATGGGTGTATGCATGATTCCACGCGAGCTGGAATCGTCATAGGTCGTGGTTGAGACATGTTGCGGCGTCAGCGGCGTCGTTAAGGCAGCGGCGTCGAATGCGGGACGATTTTGGCACTCGTTGAACTAAAGCTCGGTGTAACAATAGTAGCAGAGACACTAAAGAAGGCAAGTACCCTCTTCAGTACAAGACGGGATGGGAACAAGGGTCTGCCGTCTAAACCTGCCCAGGGACAGACCCGCAATTGCGGTTCTTAGCCAGTGTTTTCCGTGTACTGGTACATGGATATGTAGGTACCAGATGATGGGCAGTGCCTGCAGGTTGCTGCTGGCCATTCCAGAAAAATCCACAACCACTCTTTCAGAATCCCCGAGTCGGCTAATTGAATGGCTATTCCCAGAGCAGGCAAGCGTGGTTTATTTTTTCCTTCGTTGGTCGCAGAATCCTTCTTGAACGGGAATTTACCAGCACCGCCGAGGTGGTGATAATTATGGAAATACGCCACAACTCTGTAAGCGAGATACCAACAGGGCAAGCGTCCACTCGGTCGACGCCGGGCCTGCAGCCCTCGAACCGAGAGAGCGACACATTTGAGATAGTACTGAGCTCAGGTGTTAATGCTCAGGTACCTTAATGGCTGTATCTCCTGGAGCGGAAGAGCAGTCAATAGCTAAGGCTAAGGCTTTTGTTGGCGAGCGGTATGTGAGAATCGAATCCGGGGGATAAGGGGATTCAGACTCGAACGTGGTCGTAGGAGTGTTCTCAGCAAGCATGTCGATTGAGAAAACGCGATCTAACTTTAAATTGTGTCTGGGGAACGTTGATGTCATCGAACTCATGAACCCCGGTGGTCGGAGGATGTCGATGTCGGTGGTGGGGCAGGCAGGGGAGGTACAGGTACAGGTACATGTCTCTGCATGCCCTCAAACGTTAGGTCGGGGGTTTACTATAATTAGTGGCGACCGTTGCGAGGAGGAATGAAGCAGCAGCAGCAGCAGCAGCAGCAGCGAACCCTGAATAGAACATTTCCCCAAGCTAGTATAGTATAGGATGTACCTATATCGCTAACCAGCACTTATCTTAGCTCGCAAAATAAGGTCTAGTTTACCCATGCTCGCTCAGCCCCCCAAATCGGAGGCCATCCAGGCACACGACTGGATATCGTACCACGGTTATCTTCACAACCCCGGAAAATATTCAGACAGGGTCTTGTCAGTATTAGTTATACCACTATGTACTTTGGTTTCAGAGATAAGAGTTTCTCAAATACTCGCCTGAAGTTAGTGGCGTTCATGATCCAAAGAAAGGAAAAGAGAAGAAAAAAAAACAAAAAGACACGCAGCAGCCGTGAACAACCCAACCTGTCTTGCTAATCGCCCTCGCAAAGCTGAATCCCATATAACCATCCGGACAAAGGAAATCGACAAAAAGGAAAAAAAAAAAAGAAAAAGAAAAAGGAACAGAACAGAAGTAGAAGTAGAATAAGAAAAAAAGAAAGAAAAAAAGCCCCCAATCCGGCAACAATGTATAGATTTAGCATAAAAGGGTATCACCTTATAAGGCTTGATTCAAAAGTAACACAGATCATTTGCTAAAGTAACATAACGAGAAACCCAGCATGCCAACTATGCGGCATTGGTGGCCGATTCTTCCCCCGGGGTCCCGGAAGCGGTTGCACCCTCCTCAACACCTTTGCTTCGACACAGGGGACAGGAGTTACGTCCCGTCGTAAGCCACTGTAAAGATAACTGTCAGCAAAAGCCACAAAGGGCAAGGAAACCGAGCGCTGTTCTCGTTTGAAGAATTTCGGACCAGCCGACGTACCTCGTCAATACAATC